AGGCAAGCAAGTAAGGAAGGAAGGAAGGGAAAGAGGGAAGAGGAAGGAGATGGCGGAGGGACGCCTCTCCTAGGTGTGGTCGATAGGAATATGCATCGTAGGTTGCTACGGCAATACGAATAAAATGTAAATTCGGCCTCCTTGCTACCTGAACGCGTGCTTGGGTGCTTGCTTGGGTGCTACGCTGGATTGGCGACTCTCCAGGCCACCACCTCTTATACAAAGTCAGAACAGTTACCGGTCGAGACTTTCCGAAAGAAAAGCGATAGCTCTCGTGTGTGCATTTCTCACGGACGAGTTCGTAGAATTTTCGTTACGCTTGGATTATTTATACGAGTTTAAGAATCCTTTCCATTACCGTTTTGCATTTTCTTCTGATAACCATTCTAATGAATAAGCGAATCATGATCGATAGTAAAAAGAAAGTTAAGTCAATAGTTGATCAATTTTCATTTTATTGAGATTAGGTTTTTATCGTATTAATAATATTCCAATTTTATCGTAAATGTTTTTAGGAAAATTGCGATTAGATTTTTAATTTTATTTTCATGAAGTGGATGACACATATATTAAAATATAACATCCTATTGGAAGATAGAACGAATAATTCCGTAATTATTTCGATAAATATTATTTACATAATGGGGACGATATTATTACATTAGGTGTTGTTACTCAAGCAGACGTTACACGTAGAGCAGGTGAGAATGTTTATCAGGATGTAACGTGCAACGTAAAGTGGTGTAACGTGCACATTTGTGACACCCTCTCCTTTTATATACTGCACCTTTTAACCTAGTGCGTGCGTGCGTGCGTGCGTGCGTGCGTGCGTTTGCTTCAGTGCGGTTTGCGCTTCAGCTGCATGAAAAAAACCACAAATTAATTGTCTTCATAGGTTTGCCTGTCGTGCCACAACGGAAACCCTACGAACGTACTTATATGTACGTACCTACGTACTTGAGTAAAACGACAGGTTGCGTACGTTGTTTGAACGATTATCCTTTTTAACTCATAAACAAAATGAACTTGATTCCGTTGAAAAATGTTAAGATTTCAAGTTTTGTTATAGATATCCTTTTATATGAACATTTTTTACATGAACATTACTTTATCTAATATCAATTTCATTTCTGTTGTTTTTTTCTTTTTTGTAAAGTATTTTTCATTAGGTAAATTTTGTTTTAAGGATTTGAATAATAAACAAAATTGAGAAATTAAAAATGATAATAATTTTGTAGCGTTTAAATGCCAAAATTTAGAGAGAAACGCATTGAATGTATTTATTTAACTTATATTAGTTAAATTTGAAAAAAGATCAAATGTATTCTAATCAATTATTGCATATGGAGTAAACGTAATCTTTTATCCTAATAAGAAGCGTCCGGTATTTTGAAGCAATCCTTATAAAGAAAGTAATATAATGACGTGCCACACACACACACACATTAGGAAAACTACAACATTACTACCAATCATTGTTCTTCTGGATTAAATGACCAGACTAATTAAACCTACACAGGACTCTATGCAATTATGGTAAATAAGAGGGCGTTGTGAGGTACTGAAGTAGCAAAGTGATGATCGTCGTAGTTGTACCTAAAAGCCTATTGTTCTTGCTCGTAATTTTAATAACTTTTTCTTTTCTTTTTATGTCTCATTAAATAGGAAGAATAATTGTTTTTTTTTTTCTAGATTCCAAACAAACGTCAATTTTTTGTTGTTGTCAAAAGTAGTTTTCATATATGACAATATTGAGGAAAAGATTTCAACATTGATTTCAAAATATTATTCGAATTAGATTTTTTTTTGTTTTTTTTTTTCGATTAAAATAAGAAAGTGGTTAATATCAAAGCGTAGGTTTTCTATTCAAATTATCATGATGTTCAAATTTATAAGGTTTCGCCGTAAAAGGAGATCAAAAGTTCTCTCTTTCTCTCCCCCTCTCTAAAAATTCTTTTACGTATCGTTCGCTTGCAAAATCGTAACCGTTGACAACTATCCTTGAGAATCCTCTTAAAGCGAGTCTTTTAAAGTATCAAAGGGTGTCTCGTAAACGTTTCAATCGTTTGAGATTCGATTCATAGTGAATTTATACGAATTCGAGTCGAATAAAAAGAAAGATTTAAAAAAAAAATAAAAAAAAAAATATATTAAATATGCTCGTATATAAGATCACCTTGAAGATTTCGATGGATTATTATTAATGCCGAGCTCGTGCAAGGTACATTCGTTAACAGAGTGTCAAAATCATTGGGATCTTTTTATTCATCGTATTTTTCTATATATACGTATAGATATATTGTATAATTGTATGTATCCTATACACTTTTACACATATATATATATACTTGTTCTCGTGAGAAAGGCGTAGGCTATCTCACTCTTCTTTTACGCGAGGTGTTTCTTAAGCACCGATCACCGAACACACGTGCCCACGCATCTCACGTTGAAACGTTTTAGATTAGTGCCCCCAGATAACACGTTTACCACACGTTAAACTATACTCGAGAGAATCATCGAAGGACTTGCTTCTTATTATCCTTTTCCTTAGACGACCATAACGATGACGACGACGATGATTTTTTTTTTTTTTTAACGATATATGGAGCTGCCCATTCGTCAAATCGATTAACTCCTTCAAACGAGAAATACAAAATATTTATGAAGTTAAATTATTCTATCATTTATTATTAAACGACCATGAAATTTATTTTTATTTAGTTGTATTAAAACTAATTGTTAGGATAATTTGTTTGAAATATAAAAAGTTAGGAATAAAATAAAAAAAAAAAAAAAATAAATTCTAAAATTGTAGTTAATCGCTTTAAGCTCATGAACGGGGCACCATATATCAAGATAAAAATTATTGCTTACGCACGTGCTCTAATATGAATAATGTAAATTCTCGATTTGTAAGTTCTTCCCCCTTTAAAAGGAACTTTGAAATTTATTCGCAGTGCATTTCACCTGTTGTACATCGGTAAAGTGGAGCAACCAAGAAACTCGTTAAAAATAATGACCATTGCCACAGGAGTATTCACGATTATCGTGTCATATTGGATACCTTGAAGAGTTCTCTTTATTTATTTCTTTCTTTTGAAAATAGGATATTCTCAATAAAAGTAGAAAGATAATTGTATCTCGTATTGTGGTTTTTTTTCCCTTCTTCCTTGTGTGCTCATAATCAATGAAAATTTCATTCAAGAATAGGTCAAATTTGTATACGCAAACGATTAATAATTTACAATTCGGGTATAATTTTGAACATTAATATTAAAATAATTTGTATTTAAAAAAAAATATATTAATTTTGCCTTTTTTTGCATAAAACATATTCAACAAAATAAACAAATGAGAGAGAGAGAGAGAGAGAGAGAGAGAGAGAGAGAACAAGAATAAAAAGTTTTATACAAAATGATGATTCCGTTTAGACGACGACGACGACTTTTTTAATGCTTTTTTTTTTTGTAAACTTTATTTTATATTTAAATTTGTAGACGAAGGGAAAAAGAGAGGGTGGGGATTTCCAATGTATGACGAGCTTATTGGTTCGTCTTGTTGGACATTTACGACAGGTCTTTCGTAGCTCGAGGGCAGTGCTCGTCGAATGCAGGATGAGAGATTCTCCTCTCATCCATAGTAGTAGGAACTGCACGGAATGCTTTTTCTTCTGTTCAAGGTCCCCGGCGAGATGTGAATGAATGTAGAACCTGTTTCATCCTTTTCTTCATTTTCTTCTTCTTCTTCTTCTTCTTCTTCTTCTTCTTTCGCGCTAGAATAGTCCCCGGTACCAATAGACTATGTCTTTAACTTTGCCAATCGAATCGAATCGTCTTCTTCATTTCCTCTTCCCGAAACCATTTCCTTTTACTTATTCTTACATCCTGTTTAATCGGAGAAATACTCTTGATGTTGATGGTTCAGGGATAAATTTGGAAAAATTAATTTTTATTTGATTGTCTTAAAAAACAAAAATTAAGATAAAATATTATTCAAGTATGATTGTTATTATTTTAAGAATTAATTAAGAAATTACTATTGCGATAGTTTTTATTTTGTTTTATTTGATATTTATATTTAATACTGAATTAGTGTTTTATTTTAAAATATAAGATACAAATTGTAACGTAAATTTAGTATATGGTACTATTATCAAAATTTACATTAACATATATTGTACATTAAAAACCTATTAAATATAATATATGTATTACTATATTTAATGAATACTATATAACATTAGATGAAGAAAGCGTGCAATTTCACGGTCCAGATTCTAGAATACTTGATCTTCCAGTCAAGGACACGAAGAAGAAGAAAAAAAAGAAGAAAAAATTAAATGATAACACATGCCCAACTTTTCTCCTTATCGGTTACTTTGTTTTTCTTTGTTTATGTTTATTTTTTTTTTTCTTTTCTGCAAACTACGTGTAAAATCATTTCTGCGCAATAATAAACTGGAAAGTAGAGATTTTCGAGAAAGTTTTGCAAAAATAAAAAGACATTTTCGAGAACAAGGGAAAAAAGAGAAAGAAATAGTGTGGTAGTGAGAGAGATATTAAAAAAAAAAAAAAAACTTAAAAAAAGAAAAAAAGAAAAGATATATAAACAACTTGTAGTAAATATAAATATTACTTATAAAAGGAGGTGAGAAGGGAAGGGGTAGGAGGAGGAGGGTTGTTGGGACGGTCCCATGCATTTATCCTTCCCCCACCCCTTTTTTCACTGACTTACCTTAGACACTACTGCTTGGACACACGTGCTTGATGTCGATTGCAGCGCCATCGTGGCCGGTTGTCAGAGTTTGCTTCGATTCGACAGTTTCGACGGAGTCGTGGCGCGCTTCGGATCGTTCTCTCTTCGTTATAATATATATTATATATTTTGAGTTTACGTTTAAAAAATTATTATAAAATAATTTATATTCTCCTTCTTGCTTATAGATCATTTATAGTTTTTTTTTTTCTTTTTCCCTCCCAACCCTGATGAAATTTATTTTTATTGTGTGATCAAAATTGTTCCATCGTATAAAGAAAAAAAGAGAGAGAGAAAAGGAAAGAGAACAAGATTGATTTAAATCGGAGCATGTTTTAAATCTCGTCGAGACCCTTCAAAGGATTCTTTCGATCCAAAGTCGAAGGTGAGTTGTTTTATTATAATATTTTCATTTATACTTTATGAATTACGCTTTATGATTTATCGATTTATCAATTAATTATACGAAACGCTTATATTGTTAAATGAAGAAGAGACAAATTTGATAAATATTTAATCATTTTTATTTAATTATAGCGTTAGTTTTAGTATTATATTTGTTAATTGGTTATTAATTTATTATGGATATTATTTTACTTTGGTATTTTTTTTTTTAATTATTATAGAATAAAAACAATAAAAACAGGAAATAGACAGACTGCATCAATGACTGTGTTACACGTTATATATTTTGTTTTTCTTTTACTTATCTATCTACTCTATGTACCATTTATGATTATTGATGATGATTATTTTTCTAATTTACGTAAATAAGTTTAGGTTATATTTAGATTAGTTATCGGCGTTGTTATTATATGAAAAAAAAAAAAAACAAAAGAAGAAGAGAAGAAGATCGGTTCATAATATCTATATATATATAAAAATCTCGTGTCACAGTTTTCGTTCCCATACTCCTCCGAAACGGCTTAACCGATTTTGATGAAA